TTCACCACCTGGGACCAAGTGCACGAGGGGGTAGCACTGCAAGCATATGAAAGGAGGGCACTGCGACCTTGAGGTCAAGCTTGCACATCTATTGGTAAAGTCCTGAATGGATGCCCTGACGTGCTAATTGGTGCGGATGGCCTTATGATGGTGAAATGTCCCTGGATGTAAAGGGAAAATCGGATGGCAGGCAAACTGAAGTTGTTTCTGACTTTATCCCCTTATGACTTGAAAGTGATCTGCCCACTTCATAAACTTTGAAAATGCAAAATTTTTTCCGTAACTGTCCCCCTTCAACGTAATGTGCACATTGAAACATGCTCTTTTTTCTGCTTTCCGGTGAGAAAAAAAAAGCCAACGAATCTTCCTCTTCCTTGTCGTAATGGGAAGGAATGCAAGACTGATTGCATATTTTGTATACGCCAATCAGTTTCATAAGTGAATACAAATTCACTTATGAAACTGTCTTCTGCATAATTTATAAGCAGTGTAGCCCCGGCTTTAGGCTACATTATCGCGGGTCGGTTCGTTAATAAACCTCCGTGGGTGCCAATGATAGCTACAGTCTTTCTTTCCCTTTCTCTCCAATTGTAGCAGAAGAGGAGACACACCCACCGGAGTAAGGACAGTGTTCAAGAGTATTTATTAAACACTTTTAAAAGCAATGCCACGTCCCATCCAAAATGCCCCCCCCCCCCCCCCCCCCGCGCCGGCAAGGTAAGAAAAGGCTCTTACCTGGCCAACACGGGGCGCCCGAGAGCCAAGGTCTATAATCGAAAAGGTCGCCGATCAACGGCGGTTCAGTCCAAACCGCAAAACGGGCCCGGGACCCGACCGGAACCCTTTTTTTATATCTTCCGGAGCCCGTTCTGGCTGGAAAGTGTGGCGTTGCGTTTTGAAGACGAAGATATACTTGGTTTTATGATAACTAGGGCGAACTGTGGAGGCTACGGGCCCCGCAACCCATTAAGAGCTTCGAAGTCCGGATCGAGGCACGTTACCTCACGTCACGGGATCGTTCGTGCCGCTGCGCCTAATGCAAAGTCCGGAGGAACCGGTTGTCGTCTGCTGGCCAAAACTCTACTGTAAAACCAACCAACTTCAGATGAACGTTCACCACAGCAACATTGCCGTTCGCTAAAGTAGCGAGCTCTTCGGGAACAATTCACGAAACAAACATATGCTCGGTTTACCCGCGGATCTTTGCCATGGCGACATTTTGAGCGCAAGTGGTCGAGGGCTGCGATCGTTCAAACTTTATTGAAAAGCCACGTTGTTCTAGGAAAATACGAGTCTCGGGGTTTTCGGTTGATTCGAATTAAGTATCCTTGAGAAGTCACATGTCTTCGTCTTTCTCCCGTGTCGCGTAGTGCGGATGGAGATGCAATCGCGCGAGTTCGATAGATGCTGATACGGTACACCGACAACGACGTATACGACGTTCCGCCGGATATGCGCCCGGGACGGCGGATGGCTGCGATACACAACACAACAACTAAAGCCCAGGCACAGGGTGTCACAAAAAATATTTACAGGGTTTTTTTACCGCAAAAATAAACTAGGCATCGCCGAACGCTCATTCTCTGCCCAAAGGCCTAGAGGTCACAACCAGATGCCAAAGTTTCAGCCCGATCCGATTACTTAATCAAAAGTTATAAGTGATTTCTCTGAAAATTTCATCGGGAAAATGGCGGCCGACGGAGTTTTCGAATACATGGAGCTCTATGGCACAAAAAAACCGAAAAGGGGCAAAATTGACACCGTTTCCCTATTGAAAGTTTCGAATAATCACTTATAACTTTTGAATAATGTATCGGATCGGGCTGAAACTTATGGCATCTGGTTGTGACCTCTAGCGCTACCTTCGGGCGGAGAATGAGCGTTCGGCGATGCCTAGTCTATTTTTGCAGTGAAAAAAAACCTATACATTTTATTTTGGTGACAGCCTGTATAGGTTCCCGTAGGGAGCGGTGTAGGGCTATTGATTGATGATCGAGTTCGCCGACAATCCGGCAACATTTTCCCGCGCTTTCGCAAAAGGTTTTAGTCTTCGCGGCAGGAGCATTGGCGCGTTAGCGGCAGTCGTTTTTTTTGCAACATTTCGAGCGTTGGAAAGGAACGCGCATGCCAGGGTGCTGCGCTTTCGGGTGTAGTAACGGGCATGAGGCCGGGAAACAGGTGTTCGTATCACGGAGGGTGAGAGACACCGCAAAGAACGACTTGTGTGGCTGTCGTGGATCAGTCGGACGGACTTCACTCGCACCTCTTGTACACGGCTGTACAAGGTAAGTTCTATTATTAAAGCGGTAGGTAGGGGTTCATTCTTTGGACTGTAGACTTTGTTCCGAACTGATTACGAGCAATTTAATTGTGTCAAATGAATGCTTTTGGAAGCTTGCTCCAGCACCCGCGCGGCAGCACGATATAAATGTTGGCATCGTGCATGCTTAGACTACCCGCTTGACCTGCTAGCCTGTGTTCCACTGACGTCACGGCACTGAAAAGCGCGGGGATATTTGAATGCTGGTTTTGGAACCATATTTTCGTATGTAGATTTCACAATGACTGTTCTGAATTTCGCGATAGTAAATAGCATACTGGAAAGGGCAAAGGCCGGGGATTTAGAAGATATAGTTATTTGGCTAGAAAAAAATGGCCCACAATAACGTTTTTCGTTTTTAATCTAAAAGGGGCTTATCTAATTACCGACCCGTAAAAAAAATTCTTCACTGTGTGAGGGAGACAAGTGTTTCTTTCCATACATAGTGTATCTCAAATACCCAGGCTCCACTAAAACGGGCCACGAATATGAGCGCCTGCACATAGCAGTATAAAAAGTTTTCGTGAAATATGTATTTTACACGTCGGTGTTATCACGCCAAGCTCCAAAGCGTAGCTTCCTTTCTGTAAAAAAATAATAGGGCCAAAACGATTTCCCGTGTTAACGGCGGATGGCGACGCAGACGACCGAGTCGAGTGGCCGGGCGCGTTTCGCGCACGTATTGGGCGCGCTAAGGCCACGCTGCTTTACTCCTACTACGAGCGCAGCAATTAAATGGAACAGTGCGTACAAGAGCGCGACACACCGAAACTATCGACGAGCCGCATGAGCCACTTCTGACCGCACCCCTATTGAGAAACCTAATTTGTATGAGCAATTTCTGTGTCCAATAAACACACATGAATCATACACTATATAAGAACCATACAAGAAACCTGTTAGAAGTTTCTTATATGGTTATAAATGTTCTTATATATCTTATATAGGTTTTCTATAGTTCCTACATGGTTCTTATATACTCTTACACATCTTGTATTATTCATATGTGTTTATTGGACACAATAAATTTCTCAGACAAATGGCTTTTTCACTAGGGACGGTTATGACTAACCCGGTATCTCGTGAATACGGGTGGCAGAAGCCGAAATTATCATCGAAGATAAATTGATTAAGGCCTCTGTGAAGAACCAGAGTGTAAATTTGTAAGAAAATGACGGTGGCGTTAGGAAGTTTCCAAGAATGTTTCAATATTCGTAAAAGGTTTGAAGGCTCTCTTCGAGCACACATGCGGAAAGTTACCCTGAGTGATCTATATATTCATTGATTATGCATGCTGTTCAGATTTAAATGAAGCACAACATTCTTGAACTCACTTGTCGACGCAGGGCGCTGTCAAACTTGTCAGATGTTCCGTGGCTCCGTCTTCCAGCGCGAGACGAAAACCGTCGATGTGCTGCGCCGATACCAGAACACCACCCTTTGATATCACGTCAATTTGTATTCAGGCGAGGTGCACGAACAAACCTATTCCGCAACGCTAACTGATATCTCGGCTTTCCAGTCGAAGTATCTTTATTCGCTGGCCTAAGCAATTTAAAAGAGGCAGAGTGGTCCGCATGTCTCCTCATCTTGACAACTTTTCTGTCGCTGTGCTATCGGCACGTCACCGTTGAATAGCTGAATTCGTTTTCAAGCAAGATGCATGAACAAGTCTTTTCCGCAGCTCTAGCGGATATTTCGGCTTTTCAATCGGAGCACGGACTTAACGCGCCTGAGACGGTCGGCCGTTCAGCATGGCCGCTGCTGGAACTTGACAAGCCAACCACCGCCCTCACCAACTGGTCTATCCAACGACCATTCACAACTGTCCCTAGCAGATGCGTAACCAGGGGGGGGGGGGGGGGGGCTCCGGTGGCAGAACACCCCCCGAAATTTTATTCAACCTCCACCCTCCCCGGCCGCCGCCGCCGTCGCTGCTTTCTCTTTCGGGCACTCGCTATTTATCGCATACCTCGGCTCGCAGCCTCTTTGAAACCAGACAATGTCCACGCGTTTGGAGTCGTTTTTTATAGCAACACGGCAGCAACGCCAAGGCGCCCAAGGTCAGCTAAAGAGCGAAACGCGATCGAATTGCTAAAGGTTGTCATTCGGTTGACGTGCTCCCAGCAGCAGCTAATCGGGACGCTTTCTTACCGCCCGCATTTTGTTTGTTTTCTTGCGCTCCAGGCGGAAACTACGTCTTTTTCGTGGACGTTGAGGACTCGTCCATATTTATAAAAAAATCGCTGTAAAATCAAGGCCATTTTTAGAGTGTATTTCAATTGTTAAACTGACCTTCCAAACCGTCTTCATTGTCCCTCCTTTCAAGATCAAGAAAAACGTCAATACTGCGAAACGCAAAGAGAAATGTTACGAAATAAAAATCAAGCAAAATGTTTCGACAAAGAAATCAAGTGAATTGTTACCAACGAAATATCAAAGGAATGATCATCTCAGACCTACTACCAAAAGGTTCCTCTAAAAGCAGCTTTGCCTCGTACGCAGAGTCAGTCTTGACCAGAGATCCGAAGAAGCAACTTATCTGCCAAGGTGAGCCATCAATATCCTGACCACTCGTTTCTTTCTACACGTATGCTAGTTCATATTGAAACATTATGACCAACGAACAGTTTTCTATTTAACTTACATCTCCCTTTCTGGTCAAGCTGAAGAACTCAAAATGTATCCTACACTACTTGTGGTTGCTAGCCTTGTGGCCGCCATCACCAGTGTTGGCTCTGAGAAGACCTCGCCAAACGGTTCACCTGTGGACGCCTGGAGGGTAAGAACTGGGAAAGGATTACTTGACTATAACAATGCTTGATTCTCGTTTTTCCTTCAGAACACATGCAGTTTTTGAAACTATATGTTTCGTAAAGTCCTAATGTTCAAAATACCGTTGTAGATTTTTCAGTAGCTTCGCCGTTTATAGTATAGTTACTCGGATTTAAAATTGTAGTTTATATAATTTCCGTTATTTCACTTACGTATCACAATAAAGCTGCATAAAGAGGCCATGGAAAGCGAAATGAGAAATCACGTGGTGTGTGACGTGCTTGGGACGATGGCTCCAAGCTTCCACCTTCCTCTTTAAGCAAACCATGGAACGTGTCATTCGCAAGCGACGATAAGTGCCGTCACGGTAATCATTGGCCACGGACGCGAATTCAAATATTAGTCGACGGATTGATTATTGACGAGCGCCTACGTTCGAGTGACGCAGTGCTTGTGTCCAATGCCCGAGCTGGTGTAGGCTGGCGTGCTTTGGGTACCGCGGATGTAGCACAGTGAAAAGGTGGATAGTTTTCAAAGGAAAGAAGGTACAAAATAGTCCGGTATATTTTCAAATTTTCCTACCGAAAAGCAGGTTTCATTTTCTACCTTTTTAATTTGGCCCACTGAACGATATGCGATTAGTGACATTCCAACCTAAGATTATTTATCCCAGCCCAAAATGTTTCTGATGGTCTCTTCATTTCACTGAATTACCATGAAGCCCATTTTCGGTATTCTGCTGCCTATCTAAGAAACGTGCAGGATCTGCAAATTGCTGTGCGGTTGAACCTGCTCTTTGTTTTTCCTTTTCTTCTTCGTTTATTTTTCTAAAGCATGTCATTCATGCCCGAGTCCCACTAGAGCGACAAACCGAAAGAGACGACAGTGCAAGCCTCAAACGAGTGTCTTTCGCGATTTGACATGCTTTGTAGAATAAAGGAGTCTATGCTCAAACACGAGCATCATGCAGGCGAGGGCATCATTTGCAGGCTTGCAATCACTCGTGCTTACTTCACTAGCACCGAACAACTAAACGTCTGCCAAAGGTTCTTTCTCGAGCATGCTGCATGTGTTTTAGACATGTAGTTCTTGTTTGTGTACGTTTGTCGCTATAGCGGAACTCGGTCATACAGTGCGAGAACTGTTCAGCCCTCCTGTGGCGCCCGAAAAACACCTATAGGTGCGTTTGCGGGCTTCTCGTTTTAGATAGAAACCGCGATATTAAACGTTGTGCATCACTTTGATATACGGAAAGCAGCAGCAGAGTCTTGTGGCCTCCTTTTGATTAAGAACGTTGATCGTTCTAAACCAGACCTAATGCGTTGAAACTTGCAGCAGTGTCCAGCAATAAACACGCTTTCCGATTCCCTTCTACGTATATACCGTTTTACATTAGGTCCGCCCGCGGCAAACGCCACGATCCAATGGAGCCAATCATACAGCGCCAAAAGTGCATTATCACGGCACTCGTTGTCTTTCTGCGTTTCCCAATAACAGCTGAACCAATCACGGACGAAATAAAAATGGCACAGTATTAAGCAGCATTAATTTCGCATGATTGGTTTACACGGTAATAGTAAGCCTATAAAGGCGACCAGCGCCGTGATGATGTGCTTTTGGCGCTTATTTATTCACTTCGTCGAATCACAGTGTTGGCTGCGGTCGAACTTAAAGGGAAGCTACTGAGCTTCTTGAAACAAAAATGAGTTAGAAGTGAATTGTAGTGTATTTTTACCCCGGGAACCGGAATATCTAAACCATTTGCTGCAGAAATATTGTTAAACGCGAGAAAACGCGCCAAGGACAGTCGTTGTACGCGACGTCATCGACGGATCTTTTGGCTGCCCAAGGCTAGGAAGGCGGGCCTTCAGCCCTATTTTGAAATCGCTCTCCGGCGGGTCGCATTGAAACATAATTGTGGTATATGTTAATTTAAAGGCCAAATGAACGCAATTCCCGAGTATTTTTTTCTCAAATATAGAAGTTCCCCATCTTCCCTTTACTGGGCAACTCCGCTCAATTCCGAAGACATTGGAATAATGAGTGATTTTGCCTTAAAAAGCCCTGGTAAAAGACACTACGGCATTTGCTTCGCAAACAATGGGATATATATTTTTAAATTTAACCTTAAACACGAGCAGAAGTCGAAACCGAAACTTCTGCTCTGTCCGGCAGCAGAGACCTCGGGCCGTCAAGAGCATGGCTATCACGTGGAACGAGATGTCACATGTTCAGGGGTGGATTTAGGGGTAAGAGGCAAAGATGGAAGGATGAAGGGGGAGGAGCGGGGGCGCCCCCCCCCCCCCCCCTTCCCCCCTTTACGCGAATAAGTGGGATAAAAGCAAAATCCTGAAAGTGGCGATTAGCGGAGCCGAAGCGGGACAATGGATTCGGTCGACTCTTTTTCCTTAACAACGTCCTTGACATCTCAATGAAAAATAAATAAAAAAGCCGAGAGATTAGTGTACAAGTTCACCAGACGCAAATTGTACCGGCCAAGGGAGAGTGGTGCTACTTCGAAGTTAAGAACGTGAGATGGCAAGTTGGCGTTCCACTCAACACACATTGGGTCGGGAGTGACGACGCTGTTTTACAGTTCAGAGAGAGACTGAGAATTATCGCACAGACATTAGAAACGGTTTTCTAGTGGCGAAAACAAAGCCCGGCTGCCAAGGCAACATCCCTGCTTAGCTCAGTCCTGCAGGATGCCGGCTTCGTCATTGCCACCCTAGCTCTCTACGACGTTCCCTCAGTCACACTACCCCTGAGTTGGCTGCTCCAAAAGCCGAATGTCGAAATGACCAGTGCCTCGGATATTGTAAAAGACCCGATCGTCATCCTGAGCGAAAAGTGGAACCCGTTGAACGTCGAGAAGACTTTCAAGAAATGTTCACACATGCAGAAGACATTGCCGAGAGCATGGGAGCCGGGAGCCCAATTAGATGTGCCTCATCTGGTGCAACGATAAAGGTACTGCGCAAAATTGTCTCCACAGACAGCCGACTCATATTTCTGCGCACACGTCAACATTCCTTTTGCAGAATCCATCGTTGAATATCTGAAGCAGCGTTTGCCGGAAGAGGTGCTGGAGGTGACCTGCCTCAACACACTGTTTAAAATACTGGGTAAAATGTCAATGTAGCCAAATGTGTCCGTTTCCAAGCGCTATATTTCAGACGGAGACAAAGTAATGCAACATGCCTTTCATTAAAAACACGACGATGTGGTTTAAAATGTTTCACCTAATTTTTTATTTTTTTTAGTTCAAAGATGGGTGTTTTTATTCGGACGTTGAAGTTTCGAAACTTTTGACCTTAGAACATGTTTGAAGCGCTGTAAAAGGTGTCTTTAAAACTACTAGACCAACAAATTATATACAGACTGTACCCCCCAGGTGAACAATATTGGAAAAAAATTAAATACTTTATCCTAAAGAAAATAAGAGATATAAGTAAAAAATTCAAAGTAAAATTGTCAGAGTGATCCTGTTTGCGCGTTTTTGACTCACAATGTATAGGGTGTCTAAGATGCGGAGGCTCAACCTAAAATAGGCCGTAAAAATCGTCGTCTGTAGTTAGCAACCTACACTTGTCGTTAACGGTGTATTTTAGAATTGGATTTAAAATTGTGAAATTACGAGGCGCACCTCCCTTTACGTAAAACAATATGGGGCTAAACTCTTGCCATGGTCAACGGCGGACGGCGATGCAGACGACAGAGTCCAGTGGCGGGGCGCGTTTGGCCCATGTCTCTGAAGCTCAAGACTACATGTTCCAGCACAAGGAACTTTTTTTTTTTTTTTAAGTCTGCAGCGACCTTCATTTTTAAGGTCGTATAATAGATCGATCTCTCCAGCCAGTTTGACTACGCCACCGCTGCCGCCATGCGTTAAGGTAACTTTAGTCTTTCTGCACGTGCGACAACCCCGAAAGGGCTCCGCGCGTGTAGAGCACAAGACGGCACGAGCCCTCGCATGCACTGCTGTCTGCCTCCTGTGAACTAAAGTTATGGCGGCGTCACGGAAGCGCTGACAGCTTAGTGAGATCGGTCTATTCATGATGTGTATACGGAGTAGGTGAGGCATTTGGTGTGTCACATGACTATATTTTCCCTCCAAATTTAGCGGGGAAACTGGATTGGTGTCTAGGTCATAAGACGTGATTTTTCCCCCTAATTTTATATGGGAAACATAGTTGACGTATAGGCGTTGTGCCGTCGATTTCCACAAAGAGCATAGGTCACGTGACGTGAGGTAACGTCTTGTGACGACACCTTTCCCGCTAAATTTGGCGGAAAATGCACAGACGGACGGGCGGACGAGCAGACACAATTTAGGAATGGCGGGCAGCGCCAAACAACATTTCAAGCTTTAAAACAATATAACGTCTTGAGTTGTGGCATTCAGCCAGGTGAAGCATTAAGGTCAGTGCCACAGCGCAGTCAGTTTTCTTTTTTCAGATTTAAACATATGATCAGTTCCCTCATTCATAGATTGCAGGGATGGCTCTCCTAAGTGCTCTGCGGAAGAGCAGACACTGCAGAATGTTTAGAGTGTTGGAGGAAGTATAGATACCGCACTGGGGGGCAGCTCAAGACAGTGATTGTTTTCAATGCCTTTTTTTGCAGGTTGTGACTCTGAAGGACGCTTTTTTCCTCATCTACCGTTCCTACGAAATTGATGAGGGCTTCGGAGACACTGGGAAATGTGCCTCCATACAATTGTCCGAGGCAAACGAAACAGCCAGGACTACGAAGACCAAAATAATGTACAGGGACCCTCAGACGACCGAAATGTAAGTCTAGACTTGCCCTCGGCTACCTTCTTTGTTTCGCCTGATTACAAAGAACTGACTTTATAATTTAGGACAGAATATACTGTGTCTATCACGGTGCCTCGTTCAGACGGCAGCACAGTCTGCGACACCGTCCAAATAAGCGACGAGACATGTAAGCCGGAATTTCTTACTTTATTTAAAATCTAGATATCATACTGTACTCTAAAAAAAAAAAACGGTATATTCTTACACCCCATGACCTATATACGACACCCCAAAACTTAATTTCTATGCACAGAGCGCTGACTTCGAACAGACGACCTCAAAGTTTACGAGGCGCTTGAGAACGGTGAGATATATCTCATTAAGCAGCTAAAGTGCGTATCGAGGACTAGAGAAAAGAAACACCGAGGTCTTGCAGTAGTACCAAGAAAACCGCGATAACTTTTTTTGTAGTCAATGGCACGTACATTAGCTATTTCAATAAGCTGTACCATTCGGCTATCAAGCCGCCTGTTAAAGTTGGGAACGACGGCTCGACGTCAGCGCGCTCTACGTCGAACTGAAGTTTTGGGGTGTCGTATATCTGACAAGGGGTGTAAGGATATACCCTTTTTTCTCTGAGAGTGTATATTTACACAGCACAGTACCCATTGCGGTTTTACGTTGCGTGTAAGGTCCCGTTCACACACATGCGTCTGCTTGGGACCGAGTTCTTGTAATATTTTACGATGAGAGAACACACTGGCACGCTGGCGCCATCTATGAGGTAATCCTGGGAACTGAATTTCACTCGATCGAAGGATTTGCGGCATCTGCAACATCAAATGTATGTACTGTGTATCAGAAATGATATTTTATAACATTGTCAAAAGTTTTTCAATCTAATGAAGAAATGATGTGCGAAAAAGAAAAGGAAATACACCGAAAACCGCAAAAGTTCTACAGCTACCGGAAATACGGCACCAGGGCTCCTCGATGCGCGCTCTCCTGCTGACTTCTAATGCCCCTGTTGTGGCATTAGGAGTCGGCGCTTTACCAAACACCGGTCCAAGTCCGTCTTTCGCAGCGTTCACATTAGCGTCGCCGCCATCGGCGGCGTGGTAAATAGCGTCGCTACCGACAGCGGCGCTTCGGTGATGGAGCGCTCTCATTCAAGTAAAAAGTAAATTAGAAAACTTCTTCATATAACAGTAATTTCTATAAAACGCATTCGGCGCATCATGAAAATATAATGCAATTTATTTTCTATCTTCATTTTTATATTTTTCTTTTGTTCCGAAAACAAAACCAAAAACCGACCGGTCGGCGCTTGCATGAGCTCTCAAGTGGCACGAGTCGCTGGCACACCGGGCCTCGGCGCCGTCCAACACTGCTTAGAAGCTAAGGCCGTTGCGCTCTTTTTGTGACGTCGCAAAGGAAGGCCATCCAGGGCGCGCGCCGAAGCGCCGAAGCGAAGGCAACGTGCGTGGATCAACCGTCGTAACAATACACTCTCGGAAAAAAGGGTGTATTATTACACTCTTGGTCCCATATAATACACCCCAAAACTTCAATTCGACGTACAGCGCCCTATAACAGAACAGGCGGCCACAAATTTTACGAGGGGCTTGATAGCCGGGTGGTACAACTTATTAAGATTGCTAATCTAGGTATTACTGAACACAAAAAAATATTATCGGAGTTTTCTTGGCCCTTCTGCAAAAACTCCGTGTTTTCTTTCTTTGGTCTTTCATACGTACTTTAGCAATTTAATAAGTTATATCGCACCTTTATCAAGCCCTTCGTAAAATGTGGGGCCGTCTGTTCGACTATAGGGCTCAGTACGTCGAAATGAAGTTTTGGGGTGTATTATATGGGACAAAAGGGTGTATGGTGATACCCTTTTTTTTTAGAGTGTGCATGCGTGTCTTATTAGCTAAAACAAAAAATGCACAGAGCAACTGGTCTAGAAAACACTTTATTACATGCGCAAAATATTACACCTCATAATAATCGGTAAGGAATAGCACGAGGTATGCGTATAAGACGTCTACAAAAATATGTTATTTTATTAAGTCGAAAACATTGAGTCACATCATTATTGCTGTAGGAATGCACATTTTATACAGAAATTTTTTGACAAAATGGCGAGAAACGCATTGATTGGACACAGCAAAACAGATCACAGATAAAAATCACGTAGACGTAGTCAATGCTAACACGGCTAGACAGGTGCAGTGATGTGATATGCCTAAGCCATTTTGGAGCACCTTTTGGAGCAGCCAAAACAGTGTTTTAGAGCAGCAAAATGGGCCTTTGAGGCAGCCAGAACAGTGTTTCGGAGCAGAAAAAGTGACTTTTGGAGCAAATTTTCGTAAAAAAAATAAAAAGATAAAAAAAATATTTGTTTTAAGTGCTGGACAAACAAAGGGCACTTTGTGCTGGGTTATGGCGGAACTCGCTGTTTGTGTTTTTACTGGCGAGACACCCCACAAGTGTACAGTGTTGTGGGCATTGCTGAGAAAATCGGAAAAGAACGCTCGCTACCGTTTTGCTGGTTCCTGGTTCCCGAGGTGCCAGATTTTTGTTAAAAGTAAGCGAACGTAAAAAAAAAATGGATTGCAAGCTTCCCGGCTGGTGCTCTGTCGTGCAGTTATATTCATATGCACGTGAGAGCTACTTCAGCAGGCTTGGAGGGGCACGTGCTTCGTCACGCAACGGCTGTTCAATCGGAAACAAAACCATGCCTCTCTGCTCCGTCGCCAACTGGGTCCCAAAATAGTGTGCAAAATGCAACTGTCCAGCATTCGACAATAAAACAGACCAGCGGCGCGTGCTTGCCAAGCCGGCAAACGAGGTACAAGCTAAATACAGAGAAAAACAGAACCTGAGCGCATTGATGCATGACATCGCGAGCCAGGGTCAAAAATGTTTTGGAGCGCACTGAGCAACGACTGAACTCGAGACAAACAAGCGCGCTGTGTGGGTTCAGCGTGCAGACATTGACTTCTTTGTTTTAGCTCACTTCCTCTCACCAACTTTCTTTTGCGGCATATTTTTCACGTAGAGGGGTCCTTCTCAAAAGAAAGCCCGCCGAGAGATATTTAGGTAATAAATATTTCGACAAGCAGTCTTTGAGTAAAAGAGGGATTTTTGTAGTATAGTACGATCTGAACAAGAAGAGGAATGTTGATGAACAAGTTTAGAAAGCGCCATATCTGCAGCGACATGGGGACGGGAACACCCGTCGTCGCACGACCACGGTGACAGTGGTCGCGCGAGCGTTTCAGCTCACAAAGTAACTCTCGCCGGGCAAAAACGTGGTTTTGTTTCACAGCATGACGGCATGGCTGGCGCCCGGCACACTAGCGACGGAGCGTCCGCACACGCTCGTGTCTATAGATGAAAAAAGTTTAAATAGAAGACGCGAGACGAGATTCCTGTGACGTCGAGGGCAGCGAGCAGTGGGGGGAACATGCCGCGGCTTCCCATGCAACGTCTCAGAATTTACGGCCGCTCCGTGGGGGCCGCCGTATTAAAACTTAATACCAGTGTTGCTGCATTTGTAGGTCATCTTTAAGTTAGAGCTGACGGAGAAAATCTAGCCACGGCACAACGCCGATGTACGCTGGAAGTTAGAGCCGGTTTGCTTTCGTTGTTTTTGTTTGGTCGGAGAAAATCTAGCAACAACGCACGTTCAAGAAGGTGGCGGTATTGTTTTGGTTCGACGCGGTTTGCGAGCTCATGTAGCGAAGACGTGACCAAAGAAGTGCCCCTGTGATGTTCCCGGAAGACAGAAAGTATCATTCGTAATCGTCGTGTGGGCTTTGAAAGCGAAGGGAGTCACAGAGTGTACGATTGCGCAACCACAAGCCAAGGCTCACGACAGCGCTGCGGTGACTTCGGCAATCTCGCTCTGTTTGGTGTGTGCAACAGGGCGATGCAACAAAGAGTTGAAACGTTCGTGGTGTGTGTGGTGCGGTGCTTGGACGTAGAAGCCCATACTAACACGAAGCGCAAATTGGTCATTGTGGGGTTGAGGTTCAACGGGTTAGTCCCGTCGTCGTCAGTACTGCGGAGAAGACGCCGTGTAACCAAGCTTTCGGTTGCACGTCAAAAGATCCCCAGGGGGTCGAAATTAATCCTCAGTCCTCCGCTGGGCGTGCCAGATGCCCGTCGTTGGTTTGGCACATAAAACCCCCAAATATGACTTTTTCCGTCGTCGTCAGCTGGTCCGGGAGGACGCAGCGAGCGTTTTTAAAAGTAAATCTTCCTTCGTTCCGTTTCAAAATGGAAGATTCTCGACGCATACCGTGAGTAAAAAGCTGCGGGCGTTTTCAACAAAATTACGTCGTTTTAATTGAACAATCGACTCGGGATAGTTGTCCTACATCTGCCGTATTTATGCTTCGTGTTTTACTGCGTTTGCACAGCGCGACGCACACCGCTCGAGGAGAGGATTCGGTCCTGCAAAGGACCGGTTGTACATAATTTTGAGGAAACTTAAGTCACCACCGATATTCTCCTGTAAATCTCGTGTGAGTTTGTTGCGCTCGTCGTTCGGTGTGAATGAATTAGGGCAACGTTTCCTACTTGCCTACAGATGCATGAACTGAGATCATTTTTTACGTAGTGAACATAGTGATTCTTTATTTTGGGAAGGAGTGTTGGTGAATATATTATGGTACAATCACTTGAGAGTTTAAAAATTGTGGAGAGCGAACAAGCTTTCCCAACTTTGTCTCTTTTCTTTCTGGCACTGCCCCTAGTTTCAAGTTGCAGTTTCAGTAGGCATACCTACTAGCAGGTACAAACTGCTCTAAAGCAGGTAAAAGACTGGTAAGTCAGGACGGTGCGGACTCCGTGTTTCGCGCTTTTCGCAAGATGACTGGGTAAGTGTTTTTGCGAGGTATGCGGAACATGCAAACGATTTTGTTATGCCAATCTTTTGCGTCTCTCCAGCAAAACGAATAAGATCCTCTACAAAGGCACAATCACATGCCAAAATTTACGATAACAGTGCGTTTGATTCGGTGGTCCGTGTAGTTGTATTTTACCCTGCTTTCTGCAACGCCGTGTCATGACGAAGAGCTGGAACGTTCACGGTTTGTGCTGGGTTACCGGTTGACAGAAGCCCGCATCGAATGCATCGGCACTCAGTTAACTTGGGCTGTTGTAGTGGCTCTAGGCCAGTGGTCTCAAACTCATTCAAGTGTGGGGTTCAA